AATTACAATACAATAATATCATGGTTTTTAAAACCGCATGACTTGACCATGCAGATGATTTTTTATGTAACATGTTAACATCTTACATGTAACTTATGTTATGTTATGTTATGTTTGTAACTTGTTCTGTATGTATACTGTATGTACGTATGCAATGTATGTATGTATGTATGTATGTATGTATGTATGTATGTATGTATGTATGTATGTATGTATGTATGTATGTATGTATGTATGTATGTATGTATGTATGTATGCATGCATGCATGCATGCATGTATGTATGTATGTATGTATGTGCTGTACGTATGTATTTATGTATCACAGCGCATGTTTCAATAATATGTTTCCGTTGAAGTTAATGATTGTGTTTAATTTTCTTTCGCGCATGCGGCCTGCGACATGTCTTGCAGGGAACGTTAAAATACTTGGCATGGTCGAGTAGATGAACATTGGTTTAAATGCCTCATTGGACATTGACAAGTGGACCACAGTAGTACTGTAGTACTGACAACAACTTGACCCTGACAGAGACATGACATGTATTTTCACTTTCCCCAATTGAGACAAATCCGATATGTCCCATCCACTCCCATGAGCACAAGCAACCTATTTTGAAAACAGGGTTTGTTCAGGATTCAGGGTGTCACCATGCGGGCGTTGACCTTGTTTTCGTATCACCTCAATATCCCCTATCTTCCACTCCATTGATATCAATTCTGCATTCCAGTTCAGAAGGGGTCTTTACAGCAGCATTCAGGAAGCAGGCTGCGGCTCCAAAGGCCGCTGCGGAACCCAAGAAGCGCACCCGTGGTGCGGCAAAGGCTGAGGCAAAGAATGAGCCCAAGAAACGGGCCAGGGGCAAACAAGCTGGCAACTAGGTAGGCCCGGGCGTTTGACAGTTTTTTTGGGATCTCGGCCACTACACATCCCATTCGTTTCAATCATTTTGAATTCAGTGTTGTGTGATTTTGTGTGTTTCTTGGATCAAAATCCAAGTCAGTCCACATTGTCAAAGTGTGTGAATTGGGGTGCGATTTGCATTTTGAAGTGGCAATATAACAATGTCCCAAACTGAGTTGCGGAGCTTGTTGAACCCTTGGCCAGCTTACTGGCCACAATCTTGAAACTTTGGATGGGGATCATCGGAAGAAAAGGATGGGCTGCTTACAGGGATTGGCTGCTTCATTTGGAAATGGGGCCTCAAAAGGGAAGGCAGGACACAGTTTCCTGTTTTAAAAGGCATGATTCCATGTGCCTCATGTGAACACTTGTCTTCAGCCAGCTTCTCGCTGCAGAATGTACAGGACTTGCGCAAGTCCAAGTAAGGGGCTATTTGGTGGACTTCTTAAACATATATTGCCCATCAGTGGGACGTGAACTATGGGCAAAAACAAGGCAAATTTTATATATAGTTCTGCAAAATTTTTATATAGTTCTGGACCATTTTATACATAGTTCTGAGAAATTTATATATAGTTCTGGACCAGTGCTGGCAGCCCACAGACAAAGAGGCCCACGCACCCATCAAGACATATATATATATATGTATATAAACGGAATTTGGCCATCAAAAACGGGGAATGAAATTGTAAGTTGCAAGCATCAACAAAGAAGTGATTTTCAATCAGCAGCATGTAAACATCACACATGTGGAGTTAGCAGGCAGAAGTAGGGAATTAAATTAATCATCAACCATATGGGCGACTTCCCATAGATGATGCTGAATAGTTGGGAGCCATCAGACTTTGGATTGTCCTGACCAGTGTCTGCACAGTTATGGGCATTTCTTAGTTATAACTTGTTATTTCTATGGGATTGTACATTCTATAAATGGGTTTAGTTCAGTACTTATGACTGGTATTTCGGGTCATACCTGTAGACATAATTCTTGTTTGGATCTTTCCACTGAAGAAACAATTCTATTGAACCAGTTTCCTATAAGCTCCACAGTTTATGGAGCATCGTCAATGGAGCATCGTCAATGGAGCATCGTCATCGTCCCACATTTTAAATGACAAAAATCGGGGTGTATAACTGGATATCCGTTTTTTTCGGAAACACCCACATTGCATATTGTTTGCTTGCATATCCCATAGCATCCCACTAATTATTTGTTGGTGATTTCATGTTAATTCCCAATTTTGATTGGTTGAATCACCATACCTTGGCTTATGTGTATATATATATATATTAATAGTATATAATTATTAATAGTATAATATATATATATATATATACACATTATATATGTATATTTGTGATGTCCAAATCTCAAGCTATGGTTTCACAGCGCCGAGGTTTGAGACCCCTGGATCTTGCAGATAGTTCCAGTGCAACCTTCAGTCTTTTGAGTAGTGTCACTGCTGTGGATGACCGGCATCGCTATGGTTTCTCCTTGGGTGAACGAAGGCCCTCCTTGGGCGGGGTGTGATGTGTGTCTCAGTCCTGAAATGCATGCGCAAGTTCAGCCATTGGATGGCCATTTATTATATAGGTATAACGGATTATACATTCTATAAATGGGGTTACAGTAAAAGCACTTATAACTTATAACTGATAAAGGGCCATAACTGCAGGCGTCCAGATTTCGCTATCCTTTCGGAGCATCTCCAAATTGTTCGGCATAGCTGCACAATGCTGCATATCTCATCTTATAGCATGAAAATTACGATACAGCTAGATCAAGAACCCTTGGCAAATTTTCCCTCGAATCTGGATACATAGTCTTACGGCGAGACCCTATGGTTTGCCCGCAAGATTAGAATGGAGTTCAACTATTATCCTTGCGCATGCTCAAAAACCTGCGCAGGGCCAGCGTTTTGGCCCTAAAACCCTAAAACCCTAAAACCTAAAACCCTGAAAACTCTGAATCCGAAAGCAGAAAACACTGCGTATACGCAGTATTTTGTTCAATTTCTCTTCTCATGCTCGATGATAGGGAATCCTCAATGTTGCAGTCCGGGCAAACTGGGTCTGTGCGTAGTCTTAGGCAAGGAACATGGCCCACACAGTGTGGGTCCTTAAGGATCCGTCATGACCCATGCCTCCATCAAATGCATCTCAGGATTGAATTCGCTGCTCCTGGTAGGGAGCAAATAGTGCAGCGAGCACTATTTAGTCAGTTTTTGCTATCTGTGGATCAGTTAAAGATGCCTCAAGTTCAAACATGAAAAATCTGGATTAGTATAGGATAGTCTGAAATGGCTGCCTCCCCAAGTCTAGGCACCCCAAACTACACCATAGGGAGAATGCAATGATCATTCTCTCCACACTTTTTGATACACGGACACAAGTTGTTTGGTTGGAAGAGATTGGACCTGAACAATACAGGTTAAACGTAGTATAAGGTAGATTGTATATTATATGATATATAATTTGACGATTGCATACAAACAGAGAAGACTTGTACGAACGTGGGTGAATTACAAGGACTGCACTCTCCGACCTTGCTAGAACTGATATGATCTACATGCAGGGAATCATTCCAAACATAGCAACATGTTAGATATTATAACTTGCCCAGATTTCCTGTCCCCTCTTTGTAGCAAGAGAACTCTTACACAAAACACCAAAATTTGCCTTTAAAAAGGTGGCATTCTTTCCATTCCTGTTGATAGCGATCCAGATTCATGATGCCATGCCTCTCAGCCCGGTGGGGTAGCTTCCCCAAACTGATCTTCAGTTGGTGACGAACCACCGCCCAGCGCCAGCTCCTGTAAACCGGCCAAGCCGGTCGCAGGTTTGCTCGGACAGGTCGCCAGTGGCAGCAGATTTTGCCAACAAAAAAGGTTTTTGCTGCGCTGCCCATGGGCTACCCTTTTTGGGGGTGCGGGGTATCCCCCAGTTTTAGACACATCTGCAGTATTTTGGGCATCCAAAAAAAATCCAGCCTTTCAGCCGTCCGCTTTGAATGCACCAGATTCTGTTGGACTGAGTAATTATTCCATGACAAGTCGTAACTTTCAAGATCATAAGATCGTTATCCTCCGGTATTCAAACGTGGCAATGGAAAATCCACCATTTATAGTGATGTTCTCATTGAAAGCGCCATTTATAGGAGATTTTTCATAGCCACCTTTGATTACCTATATGCATCATGGGTGACTGTGTCTACGGTATACCCAACACCTGCTAATGTGGTAGACCCAATGCCATAAACCATCCCCAATGACTTACAATAAATCTTAATGGGAGGGATTGGATGGAAATCATCCCCGGTCAATGGGAATTTCAGGATCCTAAAATGGAAGTACTGTACCATATGAGGCCATATTTTGTGGAGATATTCAATTCCATAAACCTTATATAGGCCTTATATATGGAATCGGTACCTCCAATCAATCGGTTCCTGAAATGTCCAACTACCCGGTAGTTGGACATTTGGCAGCCAGGGTTTCCATGGCTTTCCCATATAGAAATTCCCTAGTGGTTGGTTGACATCCAGAAAAACATGTGTACAGTATGTATATATATATATATATTTATGTCCAAGTACTAATCACTATTAATCACTATTAATCACTATTAGTCACTATTAATCGCTATTAATCCCTATTACTGATTTGTGCTTTCTATTTTGTAGGGATATTCTTTCTTTAAAGAAGCAATGCCTTGCCTTGAAACAAAATTGCAATTTATAAATGAAAGGTCTATTTTGAAATGAAGATTTTTGCCAAGGCAACAATATATCTGATAGATGAATGCCTCATAATTCGCATGGGTGCTTAAAGGGTTGCATTTGCAGCTGTTTCAAACTGATTTGGCTTTCTAGGATGTAGTAATCTATCTCAATACTGTTCATATGTTTTACATTTTTTTTGGGCTGGTGGCATCTTCTTTGGATGAACATCTTGGCAGAGGCATCAGGCATGATGATGTGTATGAAGAGTTAGCACCAACAACATGTTGTAAAACAACCAACAAAAAAAACGCACTCTCACAGTCCCCCGCTCTCTAAAAATATTGGTATAAAATCCCATGATCCAACCTCCCATCCAGGCCTGGCAAATCCTGGAGGATTTGGATGTGGAGACCTCCCAGCACTGGAGCAGGACGGTGCTGGGAATGGGACGATTGTTGGGTAAGGCTCTCGCCCGAGGCGACCACGAGTGCATCGCTTCGGGCGCCTGCTGTAACTAGCGTTTTCTCAACGTCTACGTATTGGTACGTGGTGCGTGGTAGGATCATCATCATGATCATGATCATCATCATCATCATCATCAGCATCATCATCATCATCATCATCATTATCATTATTATTATCATCATCATCATCATTATCATTATTATTATCATCATCATCATCATAACCATCACCATCATCATCAGCAGCATCATCATCAGCAGCATCATCATCAGCAGCATCATCATCATAAGCAGCAGCATCATCATCAGCATCATCATCATCATCACCATCACCATCACCATCATCACCATGATCATCATCAGCATCATCAGCAGCATCATCATCAGCAGCAGCATCATCATCAGCAGCAGCATCATCATCAGCATCATCATCATCATCATCACCATCACCATCACCATCACCATCATCACCATCATCATCATCAGCATCATCATCAGCATCATCATCATCAGCAGCAGCATCATCATCAGCATCATCATCATCATCACCATCACCATCACCATCATCACCATGATCATCATCAGCATCATCATCAGCAGCATCATCAGCAGCAGCATCATCATCAGCAGCATCATCATCATCATCAGCATCATCATCAGCATCATCATCATCAGCAGCAGCAGCATCATCATCAGCATCATCATCATCATCACCATCACCATCACCATCATCACCATCATCATCATCAGCATCATCATCAGCAGCATTATCATCAGCAGCAGCATCATCATCAGCAGCATCATCATCATCACCATCACCATCACCATCATCACCATGATCATCATCATCATCATCAGCATCATCATCAGCAGCATCATCATCATCAGCAGCATCATCATTATCATTATCATCATCACCATCACCATCACCATCATCACCATCATCACCATCACCATCACCATCACCATCACCATCATCATCATCATCATCATCATCATCATCACCTCCACCTTCACCATCACCATCACCATAACCATCACCATCACCATCATCGTTGTTATAATCCTTTTCTTCTTCCGAGCATTATTCATCTTCATCTTCATCATTATCATGTTGATGACAGCGTCAGGAGAAAATGTGATAGCGTGAGATCATGTTGGTTTGCAGGTGCAAGAGAAGATCGGCTCATAGTGTAGCATATAGGTCTTTGTGCCAAGAGCAAAAGGACGTTATCACACACACCCCACCGCACCCCACCCCACCCCCATCTCCCATCCCGCAACAGGTGATGTGAGCAAACAGTCGCATGCTATGAATGAGCGGTTTTCCGAGCTGAGTCAAGTAATTATATAAGAAGAATGATCCCTCCCCACCCCCCCAACCAAACCCTAAATGGCTAAGTCAAGTGATGATGCAAGTAGAATGATCCCTCCCCACCCCCCAACCATACCCTAAATGGCTGAGTCAAGTAATGATGTAAGTAGAATGTTCCCTCCCCACCCCCCCAACCAAAGCCTAAAAGTAATTATATCAGAAGAATGATCCCTTCCTCACCGCCCCAACGAAACCCTCAAAGGCTGTTTCCAGTGATAAATTAAGCAGAATGATCATGGTTGCCCAAAGTGATGCTTCCGGGGTTGCCCAAAGTGAGCGTCCAAAGTGTGAGCGGTGCGCGATTTCTGGGGGTTGCCTGAAGTGATGCGTTTGGGGTTGCCCTAAGTGATGCGGGTACCCGATGGTTGGGTCAAGAATAATCAATGGCCATTTCAGGAACCTAAACTGGAGGTATCCACCATATATAAGGCCTATATAAGGTTTATGGAATTGAATATCTCCACAAGATATGGCCTCATATGGTACAGTACCTCCATTTTAGGATCCTGAAATTCACATTGAAATAAGGAAGAGCCATGGTTTCCTTAGGAAAATGGTCTAGATATTGGTGATTTTATGTTGGGATATTAGTGGGATATATCATAGAATAGCCTTGAATAGCCCTCTGGTTATTTGAGAGTTTGCTATGGAAGCCATGGCCCATGAACATAGATGTTTGATGGTGATTTACCGAACTTAAAAAATGTGATTTTCCAGTTTGCTACCAAGCAGAGGGTAACCAACAACAATGGTGACTGAACCAGCAAAAAATGATTGTATAATTGGGATGTAATGGGATATGATATCATATTAATATATTTAGATGAATTATAGTGACCTCATGGTGACGTCACTGGACTGATGGTTAGTTTGTGTAACTATCCCAAGATAGCAAAACAGCCTTATTTGAGGTTAGTCCAGATATAATATCTTGATATTCATGGATCTTTTGAGGATGGTTTAAGATGTTGATCACCGAATTTCACAAGTTTTCTGTGCAGTTTGAGTATTGTTGTTTCAAACGGTGGTTCCGGCTTGAAGCCCGTTAGTGGTTGATCAATGTCAAGCAATCCGCAAACCATCAACTCTAGTTACTCTAGTTCTATACCAGTGGTTTCTTCACCAGGAGCCTTGCTGGTTCTGGCATTCCCGACGGCAGATTTATTGTAAAATGCTTTAACCATATGGGATAGGCTGAAAATGAACAACTCCACATTATCACATGGAATGTTCAAATTCCATGAATTATGTGGGTACCTCGGTACCTCATTGTTGAACTACAGCCATCTGTATGTAGTAACCAAGTTTCAATCCCTGGGGTCCATGAGGTTCGATGCCATTCATGAAACACCTAGAGACTACACTTATCCTCTGGTAACGTCGCTAAGTGGAAAATCACATTTTTAAACGAAACCGTCATTGTTATCATAGATTTTCATGGGCCATGACATAGCAAAGTGTCAAATAAACAGAGGGCATTTTTGTTGGTATATAAATACCAGGGTTTCCTGCTGTTCTTCCTTTGAATTATGCAATCTTTCCCGCTTTGTTGCGGAGTGAAGTTCCACGGCACAGGTGCTTCTTTGGGCCACTCTCGTGGCAATTGCCGCAGAGGCGGACCGGAAAACAAAAGTGATTTGATGATGTGTAGTGCACTGTGTATATATATATATATGTATGTATAGAGAGATTGTATTGCATTATATTATTACATATTATTATGGTTTACTATTGCTACTATATTGATCTGTATAGCTATTATTGAGTATTTCTATGATTATTCATATTACTGTGATTAATTGGAATAACAATGTTCCTATTATCATTATTAAATCATTGTCATCATTGTTTCTACTACTGTGATGATTAAAGCGAAAACGTGGGATGTGGGTTTGTACCCCATCCATCCACTGATTATATAACCATCACTATCTCCGTATTAACATTGCCATTCGGGGGTATACACATTTTCAGACACACCCGTACAGTTATGGCCATGGCTATTAGTTATAACTGGTTATTTCTATGGGATGAGATACATTCTATAAATGGGGTTATAATCAAACATCCTATATAATAGAATAATATAAGCAGTTCAAACATCCGATATACAATCAAAATGGGAAGATCTTTGAACACAAAACATATTCTATCTACTTCACGAGAATTATACATGAGCAGTGTCCCCGGTTGGTTGATGATTAGTTCGGGGATTAGACTAAGCAAAAACAGATTGGGGATTATCGCACTAGGGAATCCTGTTCTCAACCAACCAGTCTAAAGGGACCACACACGGTTTTGAACAAACACTGCTTAAATATATGTTTTTTTTGTTAATAATAATGATGGCATCCTATGTACCTGAATCAACACTATAAGGAAATGCAAAAGGACCCCCTCAACTAGGTCTGCCAAAAGATTTTACCAGAAAGTGTGGTGTGTTATTCCCCAAAGAAAAGTGCATCAACTGATGTAAGAATATGTGGTAAAGCCAACAATAAACCTACCAATTTGGGGATGATGTTAATCCCACCTATTTCTGGTAAACTTGGGGATGGTTTCATTCGACTATTCATGATTATTCCATGATACTCCATGTATGTCCCATAAGTATCACATAATATCCAATAGTTTCTTAACCACATTCCTATAGATATCCCATATATCCAATATTATTCCATGATCCATGTATGTCCCATATATCACATATTATCCCATTGAGTGAATCCCACATTGCCGTAGTTTTGGACAGTGTTGAAGCCCACTTCTGCAAACTGCGATGTCAGGCAGGACCTGTCGTCATTCACCTCCCGTGCGACGGCCCGGGGGTGACGTGGGTTCCAGCCATGGGGAAACCAATGGGGAAACCCTCAAAATTGGCATTGCCATGTTTGATTGAGGGTATGGCAATTGTTACACTCCACATAAACCAACCATTTTAATCCATTTTATGGTGATATAGTTGGATATTATATCACAATATATTATATAATGGGAAATACAAGCCACGATGTCTGGCTGCGGGCGCGCCTGGGTGCCTGGGGTCTACGACACCCATTTCTGTCTATTGAATACGGGAAAATGCTGATCAAGCAGTGGATTTTGAGATACCATATCTTCAGACAGAGATATATTTAATGATGGTTTTTGACAGTAAATTATGGTTAATCATGGTTAAGGGTTAATTATGGTTAATAACAATAAATTTGGTTGGTGGTTTGGAACATGAATTTTATGACTTTTTATGACTTTCCATTCAGTTGGGAATAATCATCCCAACTGACTTTCATATTTTTCAGAGGGGTTGAAACCACCAACAAGATATATATATATATAGACAGTATGCTGGGGTATATCCATCCCACTAAAATTAAATCAAATTGCTCTAACTGGGTGATATTTTAAACATAGCTACGCTTGCTCCACCAACTGGAATGCACAGGACAGGTCGGCTGCCTGGTGATTTTGGTTTGTGACCTCGTAAGGTAGGAAACTCCCACAGCTCTGGTAATCGGAAGGCCTCGTAAGGTCAGGAAACGACAGGAATGGAATTTTGAAAGCCAGCATTCCAGCAGATGTCTTCCGATGGGTTAGGTACTGTGAGGTGGAAGCATCCACTGCATTGAGAGCACA